GGATACTTTGAAATCTAGATATGGCTATAATTATAAAGACAATCCCAGCAGTAACTACACAAACCCAAACCTGTGAGGATTATGAAATTCCTCCTCTTGGGTTACCTGGTCTAAACACAGGTACTTATTTATTCCTCTACGGACATTGAGCCATTCCTTTCCTCAATTTTCTTGAGTCCAACAATGAAGAGGGAGGCCAAATCTCTTTGGTGTGTGGCAATCTTTGCTGGAATTGGGTGATTTGGCTTGAGAGGAATGCACAAATTTTTGGAAATTACAATTCACCTTTTATGATTTTTGTGGATAAGACTGCTTTTTTTTTGGTTTCTCTTTGGGGTAAGGCCAAATGGACACTTTAAAGGCATCCATTTGTCAGTTTATACAGGGTTTGGCTGACTATATTTTCTATTAGTTAGCTAGTTGTTTCTCTTTTTTTCTTTCTCTGAAATTTTGTTGGATACCTAATGTTCGTATTTGCATCTCCTTCCTCTAAATAAAGTTTCTTCTTTTTCTATCAGAAAAAGAACTGGTATTTGTTGGTTATGTTACATGTTCTCCTTGTTGGTAAAGTTAATGAATTAGTTTGTTGAAAGATCTTAACTTTAATTATTTATTTCTCAACTAAAATATGCATTTGTATTTTTATGCTGGTGTCCTTGACTCTATCCTATGAGTAAACTGATACATTACATCAGGATTTTTGAAGGATTGTCCGACGATGATTTGCAAGAGTCAGCTTATGAATTAATTCTAGCATCCGTGCTACTCTCTAGGTAGTCTCCTTTCTCTTATCAGTTTCTTTTTGTAAACAAACAGAAAACTGATAGTGCTTTAAAATGTGCAAGTTTGCTAGTGTGCTTGCAAGAATGGGTGCTATAGTTAGCACAATTATAGAATAAGTGCATTTCCAATTTGTAACATATCTAGATCTTGATTTGATACATAGTTTCACTATTGTATTTGATACATAGTTTCTCTATTGTAACGCCTTTCCATTCTTCTCTTCTCTTTCCATGATTAGGGTTGAAGTACATTATGTTGAGGAAAGAAAGAAAGAGAAAGGTTCTAAACTTTTGTCAAGCTTGAGGAGTAAAAAGGAAAAACATCGATTACAACCTCAGTTATCTGACAAACATTTAGAGCTTATCAACATTTTCCGTGTTCAAATGCAGGCAAGCTACATGTGTATTTTGCTTTTGTAAATCGAAATATAGCTGTATAATCTAGCTTTGGTGTATATATATATACATAACATATATATATTGTTTTTGACAATTGGAAAAGAGCAACAGGGGTTTTCTTATGAGAAAAATTCAGTGTGTATTTTGGCCTTGTTTAGTGATTTGTTTATCCAGTGACTGTAGACATTACTGTTTCTTAAGTTCAAATTCATGGGAGGTTCGAAACATATATAGTTGAAGCTAAAGCCTTTGAACTGGGTTCAAAAGAGGGTGGTAGTGTTTTAGTCTGAACATATAAAAAAAGGCAGGGGCAGTGTTGGGGTCTCACTCCTTTTCGGTATGAGAATATGTTGCTCCAACACCTTAATTTTGTTAGTTTAGGCGAAAGATTGGTGGAGATCTTTCTGAAGAAGTATTCCTGACATTTTTCCTGTGACCTTTTGGAAGGTGCTGAAGAATTTGATGTCTTATTGATTGACGAATACACAAAAGTCACATAAATATATACACACACACAAACACAACCTAATTCTAGGGATACAATCATAACTGGAATTTGATGTCTTATTTTGAGATCTCATGATTTATAGAATCTTCTATCTTAATTGGAATCTAATTAAATCAGCCTAATTCTAGGGATATAATCTGTTACAAAAAGAAACAATATATACGTGCAATTAATCATTTTTTCTGTATTTTCTCAAGCTGGTGAATAGGTGTTTTATATTCCCAACTTGGAGACAGTTCTCTGAAACACTAGATTTTTTAACCCTTACATCTGCAAGTTGCGCATGTGCGGACAGGTAAAGTGCACAAATTAACCCACTCTCAAACTTTTCTTTGATGAAGTGTCTGTCAACTTCAATTTACTTCGTTCAATCATGATGTACCGGATCATTAGCTATGCTGATGATGGACTTATTATCACAATAAAGTCTCATCGGACAATCCCATTTAATCTTCAAATCTTTTGAGATGATTTTTATCCAAGAGAGTTCACATATATCTTGAGCCACTGCTTGGAATTTTCCTTCCACAATTAACCTTGCTGCCACATCATGTTTTTTACTCCATGTCACCAGATTATTGCTAAGAAAGATGCAATATGCTAAGGTTGATCTTTTGTTTGAAGAGAATACCCTTTCCTATTGTATCCTTAAGATACTGCAACACTCGATGTGCTGCCTATAAATAGATTTCTTTAGGACTTCATTAAGGTAAAGGATAAATTTGTAATATACCTAGGATGTTTGTGATCTTTGTAATTAATACCGTTTCCTTCTATTGTTGCTATTCACTTGTATATATAGAGTCTTAATATTCAATAAAAGATATAATAATTCATTCTTCTACATTGTATTAGAGCCCCTAGGTTAGGAAAATTCTAAACGCTTGTATAAACTATTTCGGCCCTTATTGCCGAAATAAACTATAGGACATCTTCATTGCTCCCTCCCCCATCACCAGAATAGCCGGCCACCACGACTGATAACTAGCCACAGAAGCCGACCTTTATTGCCGGTTCTAGCAGCCTAGCCACCACTTAATCACACATCCAGACTCCTCGAATTGCGCATCTAGGTCATGTCCGGGCAGACCCCAGCCTCTGTTCCTATTGTGTGCCATCTTCCAGCCACCCTGTATGCAGCTACCTATCCGGCCAGAATCAACCCAGAAACAGTCGCTCACCAGCCTGTGTGTGACTGTTCCAGCTGTTAGCCGCATCTGCACCTTACCGTATGTCCGCCTCCAACTAGTTCCAGGTCACACAGCTTGTGCGGCGTGTCTACCTCTAGTTGGTTTTCGGTCACACAGCACCCCCTAGTTGGTTTTCGGTCGCACAGCACCACCGAACCATGCCATAGCCACGGACCGATAATCTCTATTTTTTGCTACCTTTAATTGGCCTTAATTGCCCCTAGTTTTTGTAAGATGTCGAAATTTACGTCTTAATCCACCGGCACAAACTCCCCATGAGAAACTCAACACAAAAGAATGGTGAGTTTTAGCAAGTCCAGGCTATCTACGGCTCCAATGGTAAAATTACTTGAGTTGGTTACAACTAATTTGGATCACCTTCAAGAGCAAGGAAAAGTTACGTCATCGCCTTGAAACTGGACAAAACCAGGATATTCCAATTTTGATACTTGCGATGAAGAAGACTCAATAATTATGACATGGATCTGGAACTTTATGCTACCAGAGATGCTTTACTGATATCTGAATGAAATCATAACTTCTTTGAACCTTTCAAACCATGCTCTTGGTGGCTGCTGTAATCCATACAATGCCTTCTTTAATTTGCAAACCTTTCCCTGTGTTCCTTCATTTTCAAATCTAGGTGGAATGTCTATGTACACATTTTCCTCTAAGTTCTTATGGAGGAAGACATTTTTCACATCAAGCTGGTGCAAGTCCCAATCAAGATTAGCAGCACAGGATAATAATATTATGATTGTATTCATTTTTGCTGTAGGTGCAAAGGTTTCCTGATAGTCAACTCCATACGTTTGAGTAAACTCCTTAGTTACTAATTTAGTTTTGTATCTTTTAATTAATCCATCTGCTTTGTGTTTTTGTAGAGAACACCCATTTGCAACTAACTATTTTCTTTCTTTGTGGGAATGAAACAAACTCCCATATTTTATTTTTTACCAATGCTATCATTTCTTCAATCATTATTTCCTTCTACTTGGGATCTCGTAATACTTCTCTCCAATCCTGTGAAACAGACACAGAGTAAACAGATAAGACAAAGATTCTATAGGAGGGAGATAGAGAGTTATAAGAAACAAAGTTAGACATAGGATGTTTAGTGTAAGTTCTAATTCCTTTTCTAAGAGCAACAGGTTTATCAGATAATTCATAAGGAAAAGATGATTCACCAGTATCTTCAGAAACTGAGAAAGATTCTTGATCTGGAATAGGCTGCAAGATAATTTTTCCTGTCTTATCTCTCGTTGAATACCTATTCAAGTTTGGTTTATCTAGTTGCCTAACATTTTCTTTTTAAATAAGGTCTTCTGACGTATAATTCTCTCCCTGAATTTGCTGTCAAGGGTCACTAAACTAGCCATCAGCTCTTCTATTTCACTCTCCCCCTGAAGAGGTGTCAAGGAAGTGCTGGAGTATGGTTCTGATTCTCGAAACGTAACATCCATAGTCACAAAGTATTTTTTAAATGGTGGATGATAACACTTATAACCCTTTTGAGTAGGGAAATATCCAGCAAATATACATTGGAGAGCTATAGGTTCCGACTTAGTCACATTTCTAGCATGGATGAAACAAACACATTCAAATACGTTTGGGGGAACAGTATAGGAATTTGTACATTGTAAAACTTCCAGAGGATTTCTGAAATCAAGTAGCCGTAAAAATATTTTATTAATAAAGTAGGCTGCTGAGAGAACTGCATCTTCTCAATAACTTTTAAGTAAATTCATGGTGAACATCAGTGACATACGTACTTCCAGTATGTGTCTGTTTTTTCTTTCAACAACCTCAGGTGTAGGCACAATTTGTCTGGTGAGTTATCCTATTAGACTCCAAATAAGTATGGAACCCACTATCCATATATTTTGTACCATTGTCAGTTTTCAGAACCTTAACTTTGACATTAAACTGTGTACATATCATTTTATGAAATAGTTGAAAATATGAAAATGCATTATTTTTTATTTTCAACAGGTAAATCCATGTTAATCGAGTACAACAGTAAATAAAAGTAACAAACCATCGATGATCAGATAGAGAGATATTCTGAGTTGGTCCCTACACATTATAGTGAATAATCATAAAAGGAACAAAATTTCTATTATTACTCAAATGATAAAAACTTCTTTTATGTTTAACATATTCACATGCATCACAACAAAAAAAACCAAATTTTTTTTGTTAAATTAAGTAGGATAAAGTGTTTCTAAAGTAAAAAAGGAAATGTGCCCCAACCACCGGTGCCATTGTAGTATTTCCAGATTGTTTTCCTTATTCTCAATAGTGGCTTGATTCCCAATCAGATTCTGACTTCTTTTCAAGATATATAAGCTATCCTGCAGTTTACCAGTGTTAATCATCTTTCCTATTCGAAGATCTTGAAAGATACAATAATCAGGAAAAAAATTCAATTTTACAGTTTAGATATTGAGTAATGATATTAATAGATAAAAGACTATTAGAAAAACTAGACACATGTAAAACTGAAAACAGTGTAATAGTTGGGGTATAATTAATGAAACCTGTTCCAGACACAAGAATGTATGACTCATCTGCTTATACGAACATTCTCTCATTTAGTACAAAAAAATGGATTAGAAATTCAGTGGAAGAGCCTGTTATGTGTTTGTTAGCTTCAGAATCTATTACCCAAATATCAGGAGTGGAAATAAGGGGGAGAGAAAGACTACCTGATTTTACCATATCTGATGTATCAATAGTCATTAAATAATTAAGTTGAGACAGAATACGCTTTAAACTTTGAAGCTCTTCGGTTGAAAAAGTTCCAATTATTGGTGTGTCAGGTGCTTCACTTGCCTCAACCAAGTTTGCTTGAGCTCTCATAGATCCACTTTTCCTTCTCCCACGACCTCTAGTGAGTCGTCCATGCAATTTCCAACAAGTCTCCTTAGTGTGTCTCTGTTTGCCATAGTAATCACAATTCCGTTGGTCTTAGAGTAATCAGATTAAACAATTAATCCGGCTTTTTCAATTGGTGCTATGTGGAGCATGACAATTCTGCTACTTTTTTCTTGTTGAATATAAAAATAAGTCTGTTCTAATGAAGGAAGGGGATCCTTACCAAGTACCTGGCTCGTATCTGATCATATTCAACATTCAGACTAACCAAAAAATTATAAATCTGCTCATTTTCTAGCATTTTCTGAAATTTGATAACATCCTTGGGGCAGTCTGTGTGAAAATCTTGATAGTAATCGAGTTTCTGTCATAATCCATTAAGTTCAAAAAAATACTGAGAGATTGTCAACTCTCATTGTTTTGTGCAGTGGATCTTATTCCGAATTTCATAAATTTGAGCATCATTACTTACTTGTAAATATGTAAGGGACATTGCATTCCATATTTTTGCTGCAGTATCGAGCAACAGGTACGCTCAAGTAATGTGAGGTTACATGGAATTAATGAGCCAAGATATTATCAAGGAGTTTTCAAAGTTCCATCTGTGATATTCCAAACCACTGAAATCTGGTTTCTTTTCATCCGCGGTAATATAACCCTGCAATCTCCTGACTTTGATAAACAGTAAACAAGATATTGACAAAGTAAGATAATTAGTTCCATTAATATTTACAGGACTTATTTGCAATGATGGGTTATCAGGATTAGGAATAATTAATTTCTTTACTTCTGTCATGTTTAATTACTAGAAACACGAAAATAATATTGAATATCGAACATCACAGAGAGAGAACAAACCTCCTAAGCACCGCCAAAGCCAAAAAATTACTGTAAGACCAGAGAAAATTACTTGAAACAAGTACTGAAGTAGGTGTTGGAACGGAGTAGCAGATGGCAACAAAAACCCAGAGAGAAATAGAGACTGAATCAGAAGCTTGAAGCCGGAAAAACAGACATGCCATTGTTGGAACCCGGGATGAAGCAGCAGTCGTGCATGAACCAAAAATTGCTCCAGGTGTGCGTGACGGAACAAGACACCGTGTGCGAAGGAGCCGGAGGAGCAACGTGAACCAGAGGCGTGTGCGTGACTGAGCCACGAAAACACTTGGGGTGTGCATGACGGAACCCGAGGTGCTGGGTGTGTGCGACGGAACCAAAAAACGCGTCGTATATCGCGATGGAACCAAACATCATGCTCGAAGAGACCAAAGGGGCAACACGAACCAAAGGAGCCGGGTGTGTGCGATGGGACCAGAGGGTCGGGTTGGGTTGTGTGAACCAGAGCGGGGAGTATCAGAAACCAGAGGTCGTGCGCGAGAACACAATGCGAATAGCCTGGTGCGACCAGAGTAGATTGATCGGGTAGGTCGGAGATGATCACCGGAATAGGGCGACAGACTGCCAGTGAGGCTGGGACTCCGTTTGGGTGGGTGTTGAGAATATTCTAGGGTTTGAAAGAAGCCCTAAAATTGAAAAACTCTAAAATACCCTTATTTTGCTTTAATACTATGTAGAAATTTTGGAAAAAATACTTTCTATATTTCCTTTATATATTTGTTATAACAAACAACTCATATATATACAAAATTTTCCAGTACTAATAGGGAAATTCCCCTTATAGTAGTGATACTGAATAATTACAATATTATAGGAGAAATTAACAATAAGAACTATATTGGGAAAATATCACAAATATTTAGAAAACAAAATATTCATGTCAACAATTCGTAATATCTTTAGAGATTGATGGTTTGTCTCTTTTATTGATGCTTTGTACTCGGATAACTTGATTCTTTTTATTGAAGTCAAAAGATGAAGTTAGTCATATTCTTCCCTAGCTTTACACTATGATCTTTACTCAGGTAACCTTTGAATAGGATTGATGAAGTGAGTCCCAAATGTCCTTTGTAATAGTCAAGAACATGCACATGTCACAAATCTTGAATAGCATAGAGTTTTATGACCAGGTCATAGTCATGGAGTCTTCCTCTTCCCATGTTTCAGACTGAGGATCTCTTGATTTTAGTCCTGTGCCTGTGAGGTTTTAATTTCCAATTTTCCTTTCAGTATAATCCGAACAAGTTAGGACCAGTTCAGGTAGTTCTTTTCATCCAATCTATATGCTTGCTTGAATGGTCTGCAATTCCCTAGATTGTTGGGATTTACTACTCTCCTTTGTTTGAGCAGGGTGATTGGTTTTTGTAATTTCAAACGTATTGTATTCTAGGTTACTTTGTGTTGGAAGAAAAATAACTAGATGAAGGCTGATCAAGAAAGGGAGTCACAAACCAAATGGGGTTGGAACAGGGGTTGTGCAGAAAAAGCCACGGAACAGGGATCAAAAAGGAGCTGTGCGGAACAGGGCAGCCTCTGTTCTAGGACAAGGAGCTGAACAAAAACAGAGGCGGCTATTTGTAGCCGAAAGAGAGCAGCTGTGGCTGAAAACAGAGGCTGTTTGCAAGCAAAACCCATTGCTGAAAACAGAGGTATTTTACCGCCGAAGACAGAGGCTGTTTGGGAGGAGTTCCGGCTATGAAGATTTACAGTTTATCCCATGATTTATGGGATATTCCAACATAATAGGGTCCTAGATAAATAGGCCGGGTTATATATATTACAAAAAGGTAAAAATATAAACACATTCCTTTTCCAACAGTTATATCAATCTTGTTGGTAGTATGCTTTTCAATTCTTGAGTTACTGTTGCCTAGGAAAACTAGTAAGCATTCCTTTGGCAATTGGAACAAGAAATTAGTAAATGCTGGAAGTGGGCCAACATGTATAAGAAAGTTGGAGTGGGTTTTCTTGTCTGGCAGAGAATGTGATAAACCTTATTAAAATGCTTCAGTTTATACATCTTGTTCAATTTACAGAGGTTATTCTCAGAGGATAAGGTTTGTGCCGTTTTTTGATGGAATTTATTGAATGCCGATTTCCAGCATGTAGAAGAAAATTGGAAGAGCTTTCTCTCTCTCTGGTAGAGAATGTGATAAACGTTATTTAAAGTGCTTCAGTTTATAAACTATCTTGTCGAATTTTGATTAATGAGTAAAAGGGACAGTCCTTTGATGAATTCCCTCTCTAGTTCTTACTCTTTCTTCTTCCCATTTTTCTTCTCTTTTCTGCTATGTTCACTGATTTTCCTTCTTCCCTCCAAGTTCTATTGCTCTCTCGTATTCTTCAATGATCACAAAGGGCGAAAAATGAATAAGCCATGTACTTCACCCTTCCCCCTGGCTAAGTTTGTAATATTACTGCTCTCTTTTCTATCCAAAAGAAAGATGATTTTCTTTTTGGTAACATATATAGATATTTAGGGATAGCATCATGTTGAGGTCAAATAATGATTGGATACAAATTGCATGTGGTCCTTCACTTCTTGCATTCTTTTTGTGTTTCTTATACCTTTGAAGTTTTTCTGCCTTCCATTCTCATACTTCGACATTAAAATCTTGTTCTACTGGAAATAGAAAAGAAACCGACTAATAGTATTTCAAACCCGAGTAGAAGTTTCCATGAGGTAGTTAATTTGGTTTGTCTGTCTTTAGATAAACTTGCAGTGATATATAAGATATAAGTATATATTTTTAATCTTGCTTGCTTTAATTGTCTAACTTTTGTGTCAATTAATCAAAGTAAACATTGTCCCTTTTTGTAGGTATCAGAAGTAATGAATGCATGCATTATGAGAAATTTGGTAGCCTTGGCTTCCAAGGGGACATGTGGACAAATTGATATTCCACAGTTGGTTTTGGGACTTTTAATTGGAATTTTCAAATCTGATTTCCCTACTGAGAAGTATTACATGCAATGGAAGAGCAGGCAGGTAACAGTAACTTCAGTTAGTGTTCTACTGTGGCTTATTTCCCAATACTACATATTAAACTATTCAGGAATTCTCTTTGTTCGGCATAAAGAAAATTGGTTTCCTTGTTTCAGTGTGTAAATTTTATATCATCTTCTTAAAATTTGCATTTTATTTGTCCGTTGTTGTAAAAGGTTATAAGCAAAGAAGCCAATTTTTTGACGCACGTCTCTGAAACTTGTTTGCTAAAAAAAATAAGAAAACATAATTTGATGCATACATATAATTCAGTGGTGTAAAAAATCTTATTCAATTTTGCATTTTATATTATATTGGTTCTTAACAACTAATAGATGCAATTGGTCCCCGTACATTTAGCTTCCATGAAATTGATACTGCAAAAAATAAAATCTGCTATTTTTTTTTGGTTAAAGTATAAAATGGTCCCTTCCTCCATGTGGTCCATATTTGAGACTACTTCTTCTACCTTCTCTTTCCATGTTCATGCCTTCTCAAAATCAAGTTGCAATCTACTCTTTTTAACCTCCAGGCCACTTCCATACCATGCGCTGCCTGAGAATGGTGCTCTTCTTCTAACTCCCTGCAGCACTCCAACATCCTGGATATCAGCAGGTTCTCACCAGGTGGGACCAACTCATAAGGTGATGCCATATTTCACAGAACAAAAGGGGTATTTTCTGGCCCCTTTTATGGATGAAGCCATGGGATTGGAGGAGTTGCCACCTTTGAGGGAGAGAGGCTTAGATTTAGACATGGCGATGACGGCCTCATAATGGGCGTGCCGTTGGAGGTAGAGAGCAATGGGAAAGCATAGTTGGTTCAGGCTCAATATGAAGAAAGTTCCCATCTGAAGAAGCCATGACTAATGTTGAAACATGCCTCTTTTTCACTAGTCTCTTTTTAAAATTCTCTAAAATTCTGTCTTTCCCTCTTCAATTGAATCCATTTTCTTGTTGTTCTCATTTTGTTCTCTTTTCTGCTTTCCTCAAAGACTTCTCATTACTTGCCCAATCTCTTAGTAGTATGGTCTAGAACTTCAGCAGCAATCTTCTTCCACTTGTTTTTTTTTTTTTTGAAAGGTAAAACCATAATTATAAAATATCCAAGAAAGATCTTTGAAGTTGTCTATTTGGTATTCTGGGTGTTTTTGTTTTTCCTCTCCAAACTTGAGATCTTTACTATTTTTCCTATCCTTGGCGTTTGGGAAGCCCCTTTGGTATGCATAGGAATGTTTTCAAATGTGGGAGAATGTGATGTATTTTATTGAATAATATTTCACTATTTATATACAACTCTAACTGCAGAAAAAGAAACAAAAACAATTAATTACACCCCTTTTAGGAGACTAATTAAATAAGTCTTTTTAGGAATATACCCTTTTTGCAAATAAGGAAAAAAGTATATTACAAATAATAACACTTTCCAACACTTTCTTTCAAGCTGGTGAATAGACATTGTCCATTTCCAGCTTGTTAACAATAGAGTCTGGAACACTGAATTGCTCAAACCCTTGGTAAGCACGTCAACAAGTTCATAGTTGGTGGACATATAGGGTGTGCAGATCAAGTCACTATCTAGTTTTTCTTTCACAGAGTATCTGTCCACTTTAGTGTGCTGGTTCTTTCATATTGTGCCAGATTGTAAACGATGCTGATTGTAAATCTATTGTCACAGTAAAGTCTCATAGGATTATCCAACTTAATCTTCAAATTTTCCCAGATAATTTTTAACAAGAATAACTCACAAAATCAATATGCTATTGCTCGAATTTCTGATTCTGCACTTGACCTGGCTGCCATATTATGTTCTTGCTTCTCCATGTAACAAGATCTCTTCGGAGGAAAGTATAGTAACTTGAGGTAGATCTTATATCTACAATTGGTTCAGTATAGTCAGCATCAATTAGGCATCAAGTATCAATCCAGTATTGTTTTTTTTTCTTTTTTTTTTATAGGAAAAGAAGTATTTCCATGCTTGGCTTGAACAGTTAAGAGATTTTCCCTTGAACAGAAAAACCTGCTAAGTTATTTGATTATAATTTGGAGTATCAACGCAGAGGTTACTTCAGTTAAATTCTCAAGGACCAATTTGATACAAATAATAAAATATAAGGGTTCTTTTCATAATACTTCATTGTTTTTCTATGGCGCGACAAAAGAAGCTAGATCCCTGTGGAAATGGGTTATTATTGCTGGATCTTAAGGTGTTTGGTTATTACGCAACTCTTGGAATTTTAATAACAAGCACACCACTTATAGTGAACTTTGGAGCAGGGTGACTTTTTGAGCTTTCTTTTGTGCCAATACACTGCAACTGTGACGCTTTATTTTCGGCCATTTTCATTTCTGTGCTCTTTCCTTGTGGAGAATGCTGGTTTCCAGTTTGTATTCTTTTGTAATTTTTGAGGAGGATTTTTTATTCTCCACCGCTGTAGTTATTTTTCTCGCCTTTCTCAATGATATTTATGGTTTTATCTGAAAAAAATATTTCATTGTTTTTCTCAAATAAATGAAAATTGTTTTCAAGAAATAAAAATGAAAAATGTCCTTAGAGACAATTCATTTTGTAAATGGGACGTTCCAATTGAAATGCTGATTGTGCTTGCCAACAAATAATTGAATGTGTGAGTATGTGTGTGTATGTGGTGCCTAAACATTAAATTTATTGTTTTACATTATTTTTCTAGGTAAATCTGTTAGAAGAACTCCTCTATTTCTCCACAAGTCTTGTAATGAATGAGCATAAAACTGTTGGAAGTTGCCTTGCAAAGATTAAAGATACAAAGGTATCAGAGCTTTTCATGGTGTTGATATCTTAGAGGTATTGTATCTAACTAGTATGTGGATGAGTTGTTTTCTTTCTTATTTGTTGTTGTAGGAGTGGGATCTTATGATGTCTCCTTCTCAACGTGTTGAGGTTCTATCATCTATTAGACAGGTGGCTTCAAAACTGTCATCTCTGCCTGGTCGTTTTGGTATCATGGAGGAAATGTATTACTGGACTGCTGCCTATCATTTGAATATTAGAATCTATGAGAAATTACTTTATTGTGTGTTTGACATTCTCGATGAGGGTCAGCTCATAGAGGTAGTTCTTGTCTTTCTCTCTCTCCCTTGTCTATGTATCTATGAATGTGCTAAAAAAATCTCAGTTTAAATACAGAGGAATATACTTGTTTTACACACAGGTTAGGTTTCAATATAATTTAATATTTTCACATAGCTTAACTTTCCTTAAAGCTGCCCTGTCTATTGACTTGTTTTTATCAGGAAGCTGATGCAATTCTGTATCAAATAAAGCCAACCTGGTCTACTTTAGGCATCACTCAGAAAATACATAATGCACTGTACGGATGGGTCCTTTTTAAACAGGTATAGTTTATAATCTTGTAATTCTCATACATGTCTTGTTTGTTGAATCATGTCGAAACTGGCTGTAAAACCAGATGAAAAATATATATATTTTTTTGGATAGAAAAAGAAACTTTATTAATAGAGGAGAAAAGAATTACAATTGTGGAGAATAAATTTCCTCAAGAGATCGAAATGAAACAAAAAAAAGTTCTAAGCAAAAAGCCATTCCCCGGGATAAAAATGATTGCATCTGAATTCCTATGAAGCTCTGAGATGGCTATGTCTGTTTGTTCTCCATGTGCCTTGGCCCATAAGTGAGCCAGAAAATTTACTGTATCTCCACAGTTCTTGAAAGGATGCATCATCCCCATTTCTTTACCCTGATGGTGACACTCTCAGTAGATGTTGCAATATTGTGTGGATAGCGGGGTATTA